TACCACCTACTACTCCCCTGTTCGTTCCATCATTCCTTCTTCTTATCTGATTACAATTTTCCGACATTGCATTACATTCAAAAAATTAAATCTCCTGACCGGATCGACTTGGCCTATTTGGAGAACCCAACAAGATAACTCAAAACAATGTTGGTTGCAAGCGCTGAGCAGAAGTTCAAGCACTTTGGAGATTTACAAGGATAGCATTGCACATACAAGTGTCTGGAGTTTTGAATGAACTCTGCTTCCTTCGGCGGAAAGCGCGCGTCGAACCGCAAGGCATTCATCGAGAAACAGCGAACGCCCTGAGCCCTTTGTCATCTCAACTACTTGGAGTTGTTATCTGCAACGTCTAAGACGCCGCGGTACGCAGCCACCTTCGCTTAATTAAACTCCAAAGCGACGCCTCCAAACCCGCTATCAGATCTAAGCGACAAAAGACCCACATCCGATTTATTAAACTCGCAAACTATCCGGACGATAACAATTTTCTCCCCGAGGCGTCAAGGCCTTCTTGACCTGCTTCCGCTCATTCGGCTCATCCCAAGGTAAACAAATACAAATATCCTCCAACACCAAAACAAAACACAAAGTGCTTAAAGTACCTTTTTCATCCCAATGTAATGTCTTTTTATTTGGTTCTCGATTGGAATTACAAAACTCCTGTTGTGATGAAAAATATCGCCTATTCTAGAGAGCAATGCGTCATCGTGGTATCAATTTAGCGAATCTTTGCCCCGACAGACTCGAGTCGACTTTTGGCTGCGTGTCATGTGACCGATCGAATGTCAACACGAGCACTCTTCAACATTGAGAGTTCTTGACGGCGGAAGCACCTTGTTTGGGGACCACCGCACGGTATCTATCAAATTATCCTTTTGCTTAAAGGACTCTTCAATTGCCACAGTAACCCTAAACCTTTATCGTTCGTTAAATTACACCGTAATCATCGCCTCCGACGCAATTTTATATTCATTGACATCGATTATACTAAAAATAAATCACAAAAGTTTCCAGCCACAGAATATGCTTAAAAATTGTTCAAAATAAATCCTGGATACAGAACATTTAGTTTGCAAATGTTATACAATTATAAGGAATTCAGCGATATATAATATAGTTTCCGCGAAAAATATATCAATTTTCTTTAGAATAACAGTATTGTTTTTAAAACATCTGTTCTGTAAAATCAATTCTAAAACCTGGAAACCCCACCTACAGCAGTGTCTTGGAAAACTGTGGGGTTGTTATTGCAGGCTTTGGAATTCCTCTTATAAAAATCAATAGAACATATTTTGCAAGAAGCCGTTACAAACGATGCAGCTTATAATTTTGTTCGGAGTCATTTATCTTGTATGGTGGATAAATTCGGGTAGTAATAAATAAATGGCTGGTTTCCATTTGTGCGTGATGGGCATGTTGTAGGGCCCCACGCCTTTGTCTATCTCCATTCGGAATCTCCGCGGATATATAGAAAGTGCTGTCGGATTTGTGCAGTTTTGATTGAGATATATCGAGCAGTAAACGTGGCGGGGCGCCCAAGAAAGATTTTATACGGCCACGTATGTGTAGGGTCTTTCCAGTAATGACGCATTCCGTATTCCAGTGCATCGGTGCTGTCTTGACCACTGGCAAATTGGATGGCTTTCCTATTAGCTCGAACAATGGTAAAATCGTTGATGGTAATGGTTGAGTTTCCTTTGTATTTAAATTCAAATCGCTGTTAGTTTTCTTCGGTAGGTAAAATTAATGACGTTCCGGGGGGATTGTGTTAGTTTTATTGATTTATCTGGTTTATAACGCAGACGCCACTATTATGTGGCCGCATTAGATGAGAGTGCTTTTAGAGCTTAAAATATGGGAAAAGTTGAAAGTAAGTTTAATGCAGACTGATAGATTCGAAGCCGCGATCATTGAATCGAGAAGAGCGAGGCGCGAGGCGCGAGGCACCCCCACCCCTCTTAGCGGGGCCTAGTTGCCAAACAAACAGTGTTTGCATACGACCGCCGCGGTTTTACGAACTATAAAATTGTCGCATCCACAAAGAGATCAAACGCGCCGTTATATATTTGTTCAAGTTTTATGATTAATCTAAACGGTTCGCTCGTATTATTTCAGGTTGCTTCTTAAGAATGAAACCTTTTGTGCGTGAAACATTAACAATTACCGCATGTAAAAACAAAGGGGCGACGGAAATTGTTTATGTAAAACTCGTCAAGTAAAGGTAAAGTGGCCCAGCGAGACTGGCGACGCCGTTCGAGCCATCTGAGAGGTTATTCCGGAGTTATCTTATTGCGGAGCCCGTAAAAGACAAGATACGACGCGCGGGATTTGCGGTTAAGGCCGAGTAACGACCGGGATATAAACTTTATAGCGCATTACACATTCGACACCAGTTACCTTAATAAAATACTCGAGCAGCTCATCACGAAGGGCTTTTTAAACTTTGTCTTCCTTCCTGCCTAGAGACGATTGCGATTTCCACTCTTAATCGCATTCAGATTCAATGGGACGGAAAATTCGATTTTGGTCGCTGACACCGGAATTTGCATAATGGCTTTGCTCCTCCGAGCCCGGACTAATTAAAAATGTACGGCACGCCACCTTCTTCGCCGTGTCAATATTTGATGGGGTCGCCAGTCTGTCACTTTGTCCCTTTTAAAAATGTATTGCCCCAGACGCCGGACCCGACCAAATTGAAGCCCATCAGTTATTCATTAAATTATACACTTCATTCTTATTTAATTCCTAATTATATTAATATTGAATAAAACAACACTGTTTTAGAGTAGCTTATACATTCTTCGTTGGTTTCAATTTGGTCATTAAGAACAATATTCGATTTTTTCTTTAGTTTATTATTTTCCAAAGACTTCAGAAGATTTAGTTTGGTGCCACATGTAAAATTCTAAATTTATCGTCAAATTTGTGGTTCTCTTGTATTAAATGGTTAGCATATGTTTACATAGGATTTCTTGTGTTATTTAATTCGTGTATTAAAGTTTTGTCCAGTTTGGCTTATATAAGTTTTTGGACAGTCTCTGCAAGTTAGTTGCTAAACGGAATTTGAGGTTTTTGTTGTTTTGTCTTTGTTGTTTTGATAAACTTACTAAGGTTGTTGTTAGTTTTAAATGCAACATTACTCTTGATTTTGTTAAAGAAATTAGATGCCTGTCTCATATTAGTACCTAACAAAACAATCAACCATCGTGATTATATTTGCAGTAAAAAGATGGAAATGGGGAACAAAGAAATTGTACGTGAAAACGGATTAAATTAATTGCAGAGCGTTCGGATTCAATTTCGTTATAAAGGATTACCGTGGAACGATTCTCTTAAACTCGATTATGGAAATGCAGGCTGTTGACTTTCTGGTAGCGAAAAAAGGCAACGGCGAAACAGCGTCATCGGAATTAATCTAGTCTATGCGATGTAATCAGGGCCATTATCACCCTGGGTATTTGGTTAAAAAAGCAATAGCCTCCCCACAATTACCTCGTAATGGCCCATCGTCTTTTCCTTGATCAACACATAACAATCCACGCTTACCTACCCTACACTACCCTGCTGCATAATTCCACCGACGGCGCCGTTATTAACCCTGGATTACTGCTGGATGGACCTTTACTTTAATTAACGTTCCTTTCTATCTAACGTTCAACACCTCGACTAGGCGAGAAACGGCGTTTGTCTCGGTCAGCTGCCGTTTTCTCGCGAGCTGCATGTTTCGACCCCATAAAACCGCCCGCCAGCATTGCCTATCACACCCTGTCCAACCCTCCGCTAAGTGCAGGGCCGGACACCCGTTGCACGCAACCCACGTTACCTTATTTATTGCTCCAGACAACATTGTCGCGGATTATCCGCTCTCCTTTCTCAATTTATGATAAATACCGCTTTTAATCCAACACAAAATCCTTCTATATGCTAAGAAGACCATAAATTACACCAATAATCCGTACCACCAGTTCAAAAACTTGAAAGAAAAAATGATTTCTTTCTATAGATAATGATCTCTATATAAAGCAAAATTTAAGAGCGTCTCGGCTAATAAAAACAAACACCATTAGTCTAAAAACCATAATTAGTGCATTAGGAAACAACTCTTACACACAATCTTACTTAACATAGTTATTAGTATGGTAATGTATTCATATTTTATCGAAATAAGTTCGAGGTGAACCCACAATTTGCTTTTTATTTCTCGCCGAGCCCGACAAACGCATTTTCCGAATGTCCCATAACAAAGAAGTGGTCGGAATGATGTTGCAGAAGTTCCAAAAAGTTCGCCTTTGGCTGCGGATGAAAGAGATGGGGAATATTCGGATTGTTTTGGTGCTGCTTAGGAATGCGAATGTTCTGATATGACAACGTTTGGTTTTGCCGATGGTCGACAAAAAAGTCGAATGTCTTCGTTTTAAATTGAACTTTTCAACCCTTTGAAAACACCACAGTGCAATAATGTATCACGTTTGCAGAGTTATGTTATGTTTTTGTAGCGGTTAAATTAAAAATGTTGCAGTTAATTAAAAAACTGTGAGGTGAGGTGAATTCGTGGAAAGTAGTCAATAAAATTTTCCGTGGAATTAACCTCGGCGTATACGAACGACATTATTCCAGCACATTTGCATTCGAATGCCTTTCGGATGATCTTAATTTGATGGAATGCCGGTTCGACGCGGCAGATGATATCGTCTTAAGGCAGTTACAGTGTTTTGCACTACTCGCGAGCCGGATAAAGGCTCAGGTAGTTTTAATTAAGCGGCGATTGGCAATTAAGAAACAACCCCTCGCACGCAGATAAAACATTTTTAAATGCTCTCGGGCCGGGCAAAAAAGTAAATGAGCGCGGCAAGAATGGGTGTGTCCCCGTAATAAAGTCAGCTCTCTCAACTGACGATGTTCGAGGAACACGCACATTCGCAATCGTCGGATCGCCTCTGACAAACAATTTGTTCAATAGATTCGTTGATATTAATGTTTTCTTCTTTTTGTTTCAGATGCCATGGGTAAGTGGATGATGAAAAATCAGACATTACAAATGTCATTTTTGCACTACTAACTTAAAAACCGTGGGTCAGGTATGAGCTATCTATTATTTAATTTAACATAGTTTTAAGTTGTTTTACTTAATATAAGCGTTTTCCTTCTTGTTTTTTATGAATAATAAATAAATGTTTACATTAAAAACCGACTAGTTTTTATTTAAATTGCTGAGCATTTTAGCTTAAGGGAATCAAAACATACAACAACAATATGTGTATTAACGCTCATGAATAGTTAAATTGAAGTGGTTAGTTTTTAACAACCCATTAAGTTTAAGTCTTTCAGCTCGTTAGTATTCAGACATTTTTTCCAATTAAGTCTCCATTATTTTCCATTAAATCTTCGCCCTACATCTTCTTATTAACATTTCCCATATTCATTATTGATCAACGTTTAATTTTTTACCATTACAGCCTATCTGACGAAATAATGACTAACAACAATCTTCTTGTGTGAATGTAAATTAATGCACTAGAGATTTAAAATTTATAGAAAAATTACAGCGGCATTTATCAAAACTAAACAACGCCGCGTGATATCATTGAGTACTATTATACTGTAAACCCATAACTTGCACACAAAACATTATGCACATTATGTATTATCATGTCGATGGGTTCCATTAACCGAAAAAATGTCAAGTGCCTAATGGATTGGTAATTTACCTGCGCAATTTAATTAAGGCATCGAAGTGCACAAACAATAAATAAAAAAAAGTTGATTTTCTGCTGTCGGTTTTTTTTTGCTCTCGATTAAGGCAGGTGAAGGTAAAATTTTGGCTTTATAAGGTAAAAGCGTTTGTTGGGAAGAATTATAATTTTAAATAATGTAGATTAATTAAACCCTAGTTGGCTGCAAACATAGCCCGATGGTATAATTAATTTTATCTTTTGCCGGCCAGTCTATTGGGTCTCCATTTAGTCATTGCCGCATTATTACAGTTTTATTTATTAATAATTGATTTAAATTATCTGAAAAATTACGATTTGTTGATTTTTCACGATTTTGTACCATTCTTTGGATTTTTTACAACTTTACAAGTTCCTTTATAAAATAATAATAAAAAATAAAAAAAAACTTGATTTAAATTATCTCAAAAATTACGAATTTTTTATTTTTCACGATTTTCTACTATTCTTTGGATTTTTTTTACAAATTTACAAGTTTCTTTTTAAAATAATAATAAAAAATAAAAAAATAATTGATTTAAGTTATCTAAAACATTACGAATTGTTTTTTACGATTTTGTACTATTCTTGGGATTTTTTACAACTTTACAAGTTTCTTTATAAAATAATAATAAAAAATAATTGATTTAAATTATCTCAAAAATTACGAATTGTTGATTTTTCACGATTTTGTACTGTTCTTTGGATTTTTTTACAAATTTCTTTATAAAATAATAATAAAAAATAAAAAAATAATTGATTTAAATTATCTGAAAAATAACGAATTGTTGATTTTTTACGATTTTGTACCATTATTCGAATTTTTTTTAAAATTAATTGATATAAATTATCTTTTTTTATAACTTTGTACTATTCTTTGGAATTTTTTTACAAATTTACAAGTTTCTTTATAAAATTGTCTAATGGAAGACACTCGATATACAGGGTGCAATAAAAATTCCCGAAATCACATTTTGACCAGATAAATTTGATCTATTTGTTACTATTAATAAAATAATTGATTTAAATTATCTAAAACATTACGAATTGTTGATTTTTTACGATTTAGTACCATTATTCGATTTTTTTTTAAATAATAAATTAATTGATATAAATTATCTCAAAAATTACAAATTGTTGTTTTTTATAACTTTGTACTATTCTTTGGAATTTTTTTACAAATTTACAATTTTCTTTATAAAATTGTCTAATGGAAGACACTCGATATACAGGGTGCAATAAAAGTTCCCGAAATCACATTTTGACCAGATAAATTTGATCTATTTGTTATATTTAATTACGAATTTACGAAAATGAGCCTCAATGCATTTGATAAGACGCTTTTAAAAATTGTCTACAGCTTCTTAAAACATTTTTCCCCAAAATTGACCACACTCAATAGTCGATAGGGTTTAAAACAGGCAAATTTGGAGGCCAAACATATTTTTCCCAAAATACAAAATACACAACAACTCTTCACAGGGCCCAAGCGTTAAATAATAAAACCGTCTAGTCCAAAGTATTTCCAGATTAAGAACTATCATTAAATCATTCCAATTGGAACCATAAGGAACCATGTGTTGATAGGTGGTAGAATTGATTTTTACATAGCAGTCTATAAAAATCTTTTGAGTTTTGCCAGTCGCACAGATTCCAGACCAGACCATTACAGAAGATGGAAAATGGTAGCAAGTGAAAGTTTTGGCTGTAGTGGTCTTTTTTGAAACTTTTTGAACATTATTTAATCTAGGCCAAATTTTTAATCAAGTATAAAAAAATTCCGGAAACTTTTATACATTTTATAAAATTTATTTTTCAAGCATTTTATCTGAACAGTTAAAATTAAGGTATGCGAGCTTTTCAGGAAAGTTCGCTTACTTACGTTACTATGGGGCCGATTAAAAAATCGATGATATGGACATTTTCCACCACGATTTCGGAAGTGACTTGCGATTTTATTGGCACCTGGACGCGCCGTGGCGGCTCACCTCCCCTTCCCCCCCAATTCGACGCCGCTGTCAGCTGCAACCCATTATATTAGATGAATACGCGTTTTATGACATGCGCTTGCATTAAAAGCACTCACGCTAATTCACTAATTACGAAACACACCGACATTATCACTGAAACGTATGCATAATTTGATCGTGTCATTAAAATCGTGTAGAACGCGAAAGAATTTTAAATTACCTACATTGGTTCAAATAAAAAAATCATACGAATACCGAGAATGAAAAATGACAGCTCATTTTATTGGACATTTTATTTTCGTGCTTTGCGCTATTTTTAAATTCGCGTTTAAAATTACTAAATTATGAAGCTCTAATGAAACTTTTTTTAGACAAATAACTAGAAGTACACTTTTTGTAAATTAAATCAATGTTTACTAAACAATACACATTTTGGTAACATTAGTTTTACTATACAGGTTAGTCCAAAAGAAACCTTTAATAATTTGATATTCAATAAAAAACATTAAAATAATATTAATTTTCTTAATATACTTATATCGAAAACTCAGAAAATGTTACTTAAATAGACTTTTATGTTTTATTTTTGGGAGCACGAGCGATGACTTTGCATATATAGTGGAAAAACGATGTAGATATACTAGACATGTTTAAAATGTAATTTTACCAGATGCATAGCATTAGGATAATTCGATACGTACACAAAAGCCAGTGAAGCAAAACTAAAATCTGAAACAGGCAAATGTTTCATGAAAAGATTAAATCGAATCTAAAGTTGACAGATTGCGCAAAAAATGCGGTAATGACGCATGTGCTTAGATAAAACACAGAGTGCGTGTGTCGACAAATGAAATTCGATCAACCAGCCCCCTTGCATCAAATTTTCCTCTATTATTTCTAGCCGAGCTGAGACGAAGCTGGCATGCTGTAATATTGCGTCTATTACATCCCGAGTATTTAATATGTCCATCGGGCGGAACTGATAGAATTCACCCCGAGAACAAGGGACACAAAATAGAAACTGTAACGTGTTGCAATTCTTGCCGAGAAGACGTGTGGAGCATAAATATAGAGAAGATGGGATCACGTAATCTATTTGTGGTGGATCGGGTCGGTAGAAATGTGACGTGCACGGCAACTCCAATACGCCACGCTACATGCGACGTGTCGCACACACAAAAACTGGATTAATATCCACCGCTAAGCCTTAGCGATGACCCATGCCCAACACTACAAGTCTACTGGAATAACAACATTTTCACATCCAAAATCTACTTTGTAATATTAGGTTTAAAAGAATTGCAATATGGTTTAAAAAAGTTTGATAAATTCCATTTTAATCGCGAATTTTAACTAGCCACGAGCGAGTATTTAATTAAATGAGTGTGTGGAAATTTTGATGTGTTAATTGAAATGTATACCTTCAAAATAGTCTTTCACAGTGAAAGTGAAGAAAATGTTTTATGGGCACTTCACGGTGGAGTCTTCACCCGAAATTAAGTTAAATCTAGTCAAAATTAAAAGGTTAGTACAATATTCATATAAACTTTTCAAATATTGGCGTTGAGAAACTATTTTATACATTTGTATTTTTGTATTAAAGTAATAAAATAATTATGACATTTAGTAATATTATAAAAAAGTATGTAAACGAGTTGCATACTATACTTTTTCTACGACAAATACTTAATATTACCTAAAAAGTTATTTAAATTAACAATTATATTTCCTGTTAGAATTTCTAACTTGGGAATCTAACGGCGTTTCTGTGTAAATCATAATTTATCCCTAGAAAATAGACTAACAATAGATATAGAAGCAGTTTTTCAAAGTAAAAGAGAAGGGAATGTTCTATAGGCACTGTACGCAAAATTTTTAACGCTTTACCAGTTAAATCTATACTAAAATAATTTTCACATTTAGTATTACTTTACAATAAAGGCACTTTATTTTAGCGATTGTATGACATTATACAACATTCAACTAACTTAAAACTTACTTTAGCCTGTGACTAAAAACCTGTTGCTAACGTGCAACCCGTGATTAAAACGCCATGAAGCCACAACTTGTCAATGTACCATAAAAAGATCACTAAAGTCCTAAATTGTATAAAAATTATAAGAAGCTAGATTTAACATGGTTTTGAAAAATGTAAAGAATTAATGGATTTTGTCACAAAATAATTATGTTAAATGAAAACCTATAAAAACTAAAGAAAACATTATTAAATTATTAAATAAAATATTATCTGACAAACAAATACACCGGTCGATCGAACCACAATAAAATAACCATAAATCATTTTAATAAATAAAAATCAATAGC